TCTCCCTCTCTTTCCCTGTCGTCCGCTCGTCCTTTTGGATGTTACCTGCGTCATGAATGTTTCGATCTGGCTGTAATTGGCAATTGTCTTATTCACCGAATGGGACACGTCGGCCAAGGAGGGTGCCTCCGCAACCGTACGCAACTTCACGGTCATCAAACGGATCGTGACTTGGTGGCTACCTGCATGGCCCAGCAAGAGGACATCCTCACATTGGACCTGCACGTGCAGTCATTGCTCATTTGCGTACACACTTTGGAACAGCGGCCTGTTGCAGCAACCGCCGTTGGCCCTTCCAACATCCCGAAACACGTCAACAAATTGGAGCTGGACATGGGCGCTCTGAAGGACACGACGCAGCAGCAGCAAACGACCAACCGACAGTTTGAGCAGCAGATTTGTGCAGCAGCTGCCAATTCGGCCAAGTCATCTCACGAGCGCATACCCAAATTCGATGGCATTCCGATCTTCTTTTTTTTTTTTTAAAGGTTTGTAGAGGTGTCGGGAACTCAGCCGTGATTGGGGAGCTGACGAGAAGCTGCACGTACCAGGCTCAGCCAGCTCGTCGACAGAGAGGAAGCCACCTCAACCATACCCACACTCACCGCCAGTTTCGTCATAGGTATGGTGCTACCTGCGCGCCTGCGGCTCGGAGCAGCCCGCCCGAACTCAGGGTCTCTCATCCCCTGTTGCACCCCTGCCGGGAGGCTTGATGCACCACAGCCACAGGGGTGCCGCAAGGGACGATCGACCCTGCTAGGGAGGGGGTCGTCCGATCGCTCCTGGCAAAATGCCATCACCACTGAGTCCACCCCTTTCAGGGCTGAATCCCCCCATGGTCTCAACAACCCCGAAGGGAGTAATAGCAACCGTTACGACGCTCAAGGTGCCGCACGTAGTCCGCAGACCCAGACAAACTGGACCTTATCCAGTTACCTGCGCCCTTAAAAGCGCCTGGTTGCTACACTCTGTGTGCGAATGGCATGTGCGTCCTGACCAACGCCTGTTGGCGGCATATGCACAAGGCCGTGGAGTTTTGAACCCACGCCCTCTGGCCACATGTGCATTTCCAACTGTTGCCCTAACCATTGGGCTATCATGCCATTCTACGATGCAGCGAAGACCGAGCCTATTCCGTGGTGGCGCAAATTTGACCTGCGTTTGGACTTGTACAAAGTTAGCGACCCCAACCGGCATGCTCCTTTATATCACCGGTCGGGGGGGGGGGGTGTCAAGCTTGGCTTGAGAACATGCTGTCCATGCACAAGGTCACTGTCTCCAAGCTGCACACAAAGATCACTTGCGCTGATCTCATGGCAGCTTGGCACACGCAGT